ACACTCTCCCTCTCTCTCTCTCTCTCTCCCCGTTTCTCTCTCTCTCTCTCTCTCTCTCTCTCTCTCTCTCTTTTCCTCTTTCTCTTTTCTTCCTCCTCCCCCCTCTCTCTCTCTGCCCTCTCTCTCTCTCTCTGTTGTTCTTCCCTGCCCCTTTATTCTCTCTCTCTCTCTCTCGTTCTTTCTCCCTCTCTCTCTTTAAGAACTTTAAGAACTTCTTCTGTCTTTAAGAACATTGGTCTGGTTTTAATTTATAATGACTTAGGGGTTTGGTTTGGTTTTCAAGGATTTGAATGTAGGCCCTTGAACATGCTAGGCATGCTAGGCTGAGCTACATCCACAGCCTGGATCATGGCTTAGTAGTTTTAATATAAAGTATTTATAGGTCTTTGTGATATTCTTTTCAGGCAACACAAACTGCTGCTGAATTCTGATGGACCATCAAGGATCATGGAAGTATACATCTGAAATGCCTGTTGAAGATTATTTTCTTCATTATTCCTGATATTATGTTCATAGTATATATTATATATTTAATTTTTTTCTGCCTATTCTTAGGTATATGAAAGGACATTCAGCATTTGCTATGAAAATGCCTTGACATTTTATTTTCTATTATGTATCTTTTTAATCTTTACCTTTATCATCTCATTCTGAACCATCTTAATTGTTTTGCAGGTTACATTGAACCACCATCAAATCAACAATTTTTTAAAGATCAGTATTAAAAATTTTCCCCTATTCCGTATTCCCCCATTGTTTTTAGCTTGATTTGAGTTCTTTTTATTCTGCTGAAGAGTGGAAAGGCTAAAGCACTTTGGTTTGCTCTTGCATCTGCTTTGATTTACTTATCATGTTCACTCTGATCTCCCTGTCATCTGTCTCCTTTTTACTTCAAATAGAAATAAGGGTACCCTTGACTCCACAGTAAACTTACTGTGGTGTTTGTTTTGTTTTTAAATCAAAGTCACAGGATTATGTAATCATTTCCAGATTCCTTGACTCTACTCCAGTTCTAAACTAAAGCATGTAGCTTGGCCTATAAACCTACATTTTTAAAAGAGTAGCCTGTTAATTTTTAGATATGCTAGAAATTAATTTTTTTGTCTTTTTTTTTTTTGTCTGAGACACCATTTCTTTGTGTAGCTTTGGCTGTCATAGGAACTCTCTGTGTAGACTAGTAGACTAGGCTGTCCCTGAACTCAGAGATCCATCTGCTTCTGTCTCTCAGTTGTTAGTATTAAAGGCAAGCACTACCATGCCCAGGCCCAAGGAAATCTGAAAAGCTGTACATATTAGGTTTTTAGAGAATTTGTCACTTGTATATTCTCTGAATGTTTATGTAATATAAAGTTATATAGAAACTCATAAAGCCCAGTGATTGTTTTCATTTAATGAACTTACAGTATTTTCTGTTTAATGTATTTAATTGAGTCTACGTCCCCTCCTAATTTGTACCCAGAATCATAAGTGGTACCTTGTATTTATTTCTTTAAAGGTTTATTTATGCCATGGTTAATGACACACACCTATAATACTAGCACTATGGAGGCAGAAACAGACAATGAATTCAAGGATAGCCTGGTCTATATGGCTAGTCCCAGGCCAGCCAAGACTACATATTTAATTTTACTTAGGTATAAACACTGAAAATGTATGCTAGTCGTTCTTTCCCTCTAGTATTCGGTATATGTTTATAGCCTTTAATCATAATAAATATACCCAAGAAAAATAGAATAATCAGTTCTGTTGTGGACTGCTGCTTTGTGATGACACTGTCTACAAATTTTCATTTGCGGGGCTGAGGATAGGGCTCAGGGATTAAGAGTGCTTACAGCACAATCCTGAGGACCAGAGTTTGAGTATTGGTACCCGTGTAACAAGCCAGGCGTCT